ACGATGAATAGCGCGAATTATTTATATCAATTTTAATTTTAAACATCAATATTAAAATGTTTTGTGTATAGACTTGAAGAATAAATATATGTATCAATTGAAAACACAAACATGACGCATCTAAACTATAAACTATAAAAGTAAATATAGAGATTTTTAATTACTCTTACGTGTAACATAAACCCCTATTTTTGGCATGTGTTCCATTTCTTTTCATTTGTTAACGTCACCATATTATCAGAAACACGTAGAAATGAAATTAGTTTTTCTAACTCATTTTCTATAAGGGCCATTTTGGGTTTGTGGAATCCTTCTATTTAACTGAATATTGGATCATATTCTGACTTCCGTAATTCTTAGACCTTACATTTGTTTTATTTGATTTAGTTTTTACTTTTATCCGCCATTTTGTTCTTCTTTGTCGTACTAGGTGACTCTCCCCAGCACCCACATTTACATTCTTTGTTTTTCGTCTACCAAAGAAACTTAAAACTCCAGTCTCATTTTTATTCCGATTATTTGCAGGAAAATTTTTATTTTATAAAACTTCACGTCGTGTTTTTTTGTTCATTCGATTAATTAATTATTTTGGTCATTTAACATTTTCGTGATCTCCCCGTGTTAATTTTCAGCTCCACTGATTTTAAATTGATCTCATTTTTATGTACATTCAAACAGCGTATTACATAGTGGTCACTTTTATTTTGTTTTTTATACCGTACCAATCCAAATTGAACCACACATAGGGAAGTGGTAATTATGTAGGTTACTAGACCTGATTTGACAACATGTAACTCGACGTTTACGGGTTTCATTTGTTTCTCAGAATAAATAACAAAATTTACCTAAGATTATTAAGGGAATTAATTTTTCAACTTTGATTCTGTGTTTTATTAATTGTAAGATACGAATTTTGAAATATTATTTAGGTTATATTCGTCCTTATAAACTTAAATAGTTTAACAGTTGGTGGCTGTATTCGTTTATTTTTAAAGTAATCCAATAGACTAGTATACTGTTACACCAATGGACATACGTATTACCCAGCAACTCACTCATTCAGCTGTTCTAGATTAAAAGTGGGTTTGAAATCGAATTATGCTGACGTTAGGAGCTGTCTACATCATAGCGACAGAACTGGGCTTCAAACATTCTCCGGAACGAATGTAACAGATGACTGCAAGGTCACGTGACAAGGGTGGAGTTACTTAATTCCAGAGTTTCCTCTAAACAGAGTGGTTACGAACAGAGAGATCGGTTGGCTCATATTGTCGGTAGTCACACTTAAATATATATTGTCAAAACGAGAATTTGTCTGAAGTTACGCGGGACAGAGACCAATAGCTAACTTTTGTGATGTCAATAATAAAGCTTCGAATTCAATATCTGGTATCAAATTCCCTAGAAATATATGTCTAAAACAGCTCGTATAAAATAATTATTTAATTGGTAACCAACGTTTCGAGGCAACTTATTGTTTTCATCTTCAGAACATAACAGGAAGCGATATGACCATATTACATTGATAACCACCTGAAAGTTCATAAGGCCCCAAAACCTAGAAGTTTACAATCCATATTTTCACCGAAGTCAAAACCTAAAATCTAATAAAGAAAATTCTCAGTCCCTATCCGGAGTCAAACCCCTGTCGTCGAACCTGCAACCAGTCACTGTATTGAGCAATGATGTTAAAACAATACAAATTCTGTCATCATTCTTAATGAACTATGCCAATTCATTTGCCTAAATCATGCCCAAATCATTTTACGTAATAGAAAAATGCAAATAAAAAATAAAATAAAATTAAAATCAGCTGTTCGTTGACGGTAGTTCAAGTAATGAAGTTCAGAGGTCTCTATCAATACTTCCGGCGGAGATCGATATGTTGTACTGCTGTGAACTCGATATTAATCTGTGGATTCAGTGTCATGTGAGTAGTAAAATGGTAGGTGCCGGTTTTACTGCGCTATTCCTGTTAATTTTATTTGAAATATTGTGTTATACAATATAAAAGTTCAATGTTTTATTAACAGTTTATGTTGTGGTTCATATCCTTGAATGTGGTGAACTTGTACATGTGGAATATGTGAATTTATGCGTGCAGAAAGGCTTACACACACGTGCGTGAGAACTTGTCTTATATTTTTGGTGTCAATGTCTGATTCGAAGAAGTGCCCATACTATTTGCAGCGATTTTCGACTTAACACAGTGAAATTTACTTAGATTCTGGAAGTTTACATTCAAAGTGTATACAGTGCATAAAAGCTGCTCTATAGTGCTGTGGACGGAAGTAATTGAAATCGGAAGATGTCTACTTTGAAAGCAGAATTTCGTAATCCGCTTAAGGTGAGTAAACATGTCACATTGAATTCTTGATCGAGTGTACTGATATCGTAACATGTCAGATTTTACAGTGCAGTGAAATTGGCCAGGAAGACACACGTTTGATGACGTACACAGTCAGACATGTCCCAGAATTCGTTTATGTATTGAATTTTCCTGTACAACTTTAACTGAAACCAAATAGACCCATCTAACCATTTTTCTTTCAGTGCGATTATGTTAGGGATAAATAGACGAATTCCAGGGAGGAGAGTCTGCCTTAAATAAATAATAATCATTCAGCCAGTCAAAATTTCCGGTTCTATTTGAAGTGGCCTGCTCATTACCTAGTTTACAAGAGCACGCCACTGATCCCTGTTCTAAGATACATTAAACTTGTCCACATCTTCTCACATTATCTCTATAAGATCCAAATTAGCATTCAAAAGGTTTATTGTGTGATCTCTTCACTTAGAGTTTTCATATGAAACACAGAGCTCCTTAGATATGATGTGGGTGAACCATTTTTGGTTGAAAATCCTGAAGGAAGGAGACATAATTTTAAATTGGAGAAAAGTATTTTATTATAATAAAATGGCTCTTAGGGAAGTGGTGTGGATTTTTGTAGATTTGATTGATTTAACTCAAGATGTGTACTGTTGACTGACTAGCTAATAAATCATCATTGTCTCAAGGAGTAATGCTCCACGAATTTACTTAGCTGGAAGAATAGTTCTTCGTCCTGCTGTGTTTCCAGTATATCAGGCGTTTGTAGACTCCATTATTAAACAGTATCTACATTTTCAGAACGTTATTTACATACACGTTTTGTGTGCAATATCAGTTTGTGTATATCAGCTCGTAGTTCTATTTATGACCACCAGGTGGCAGATGCGTGCAGGTAACTGGCCGATAGTGCCTCTAGTGTCGTATTATTAAACTTACAGTAATGAATGCCTGATGTCGCATGGTTTGTTGATGAATATGGATATTTTTGATTAAGGTATAAACAAAGAACATTAATATATAAAATGGAATGTGTCACTGTTTCCATCTTCGGGACTGAAATGGTGATGCTGGGAAGTGTATAGGTTACAGAAAACTATTTTGCTTGAATTTGATGTACCTAATAAGCTAGTCGGACTAATTAAACCGTGTTTAAGTGAAACCTCTAGAAAAATTCGTGTAGGTAAATATTTGTCCGATACATTTCCTATTCAGAATGGCCTGAAACAGGGAGATTCTCTGCTTTTCAATTTCGCCTTCGAATACGCCACGAAAATCAGGAATTGGATGGGACACATCGGCTTTTGGTCTATGCTAATGATATAAATCTGTTGGGCGCAAATATAAATGCTAACACTCTTAAGTGCTACTAGGGATGATGGTCTCGAAATAAATGCGGAAAAGACAACATACATGATCATGTCTCGGCATCAGAATTCAGGACAGAACCAGACAATGACATTCATGACGAAATCAACAGCACAGGGAATGTTTGCTGTCATTTAGTACAAAATCTTTTGTCCTCGCGTCTCATATAAAGAAACTAAAGATTAAAATATACCAAAGTGTAATTTTGCCAGTCGTGTTTTATGGGTGCGAAACTTGGTCTCTCACTTTGAGGGAGGAACATAGATTGAGGGTCTTTGAGAACTTAGTGTTGAGGAGGACATTTGGACCTAAAAGGGAGGGAAACAGATCATCACCTGATATTTTATGGTAATTAAATCGATGAGGATGAGGTGGGCGGGACATGTGGCAAGCAGGGGGGAGGGGAGGGGGGTTTACAAGGTACTGGTTTGGGGGGAGACCGCTGGAAGACCTAGGCGTGGGTGGGAGGATAACGTCAAGGGAAGTAGGAATCGATGGAGCGAACTGGATGCAGCTGGCTCAGGATAGAGTCCGGTGGCGGTATTTTGTGAACACGGTGATGAACCTTCGGCTTCCTTAAAGAAAGTGGGCTAGAGTGAGTGAGAGGAAGGAATGGCCAATCAAGCCAATAATTCCATGTTCGTAATCCGAACATCCCTACTTAATTTTCGATTCTCGGGCATTGAAATAGTAAGTATCTTTAAAATATATTTCAGCCAAATGTACGCTGAAGTTCGCATAAGCAAATATATACCTGAGATGTTGCTCTATTTATATTTATTATTATTTAGTGTTCTGTCTGACGACAGGTCCATATGAACAGGATCCTTCCATCCTTTTCTCGGACTGGGACCTGTTCATATACGTTCTTGGCAGATGATCCAGAAGTGGTTTGCCATTGCCTTCTTCTGTGTGTGAATGGAGTAATTGTTGGGATGCCACGGAGGAAAACTCCGTGTTGCCTAGACCACGGCCTTGCCCAACACAAGTTATAAATTCGGGCACCGCCGGGAATCGAACCCGAGACCCCAGGATTACAAGGCCAGCGTTCTAACCGCTATAAGTACGAATTAATATCGTTTCTGCAATTGTAGGTGCAGGTAATAATAATATTTTTATATCACATAATGATAGCTGCATCTGAATATGTACGCTCCACTGGACCAATCTACAGCCACTTTAATATTATTCTCCCAAATACCCATAAGTGTTGAATTTTTTCTTTTTTGGTTATGTTCCGCTAGGATGTCTCACATGAACACACTTTCCATATCATCACAATACGTATATAAACAAACGGAAATTACGTAATTATTTAGTATTTATTTGTATGCGTTATAATTAAAAATATACATAAAATATTGAAATATACACAGTATATAGTTTCTTAATCTTTCGTTGTTATGTAATTGGTATTCATCACGAGAAAGCTTCTTCGATGTAATTTAATGTATGTTGGTTTGAAAAATTTCGTGTTTCCACGACTTTGGAAGTTCGGCCGTTCTGTCTCTACCACCAGTAATTAGGGTAATGGCCGTACAGCCCGTGTCCGTAGCCACCATGGCCATAGCCGTAGTAAGGATAACCTGCAACACACAAAATCAAACTGATGGAAATAGATCTTTGCGCTGTTGCAAGTTCCCAGTCTCCCATAATCACATCCTGGTTGTTATGTGGCATGAGGATTTCTGCATTTATATGGTCATTTAAATTCACAACTTTCAGATCTACTGTCCATAGATCACGATAAAAACCCTGTTGTTGGAAGTCGTTTCTGGTCGGTGCGGTGGGAATGTTTACTGCCAGGTGGACTAGAGGGCTGCTATTGGTGGGGAGTGTGATACGTCAGAGTTTAAGGCTACTACACAGACTGAAAACATCAAGCAGTTAAGAGTAGCGTGTAGTGAGCGCACCTCTAATGTGTTCTGCGGGTGTTGCGATAATATTCTAGATTAAATCGCTGTGCCTCTGTGAGGTAATCTTAAGGCTGTACCCATCAGAACACATGAAAGCCTGTCGTCTGTTGTTCGTTCAGTGGTTGTGGAACGAATGCTTTTAGGATGGGTCGTCACTCGCCGCGAAATCTCGCGCATGCGCGTATATCGAATTCCTAGCAGGGATTTTCGCCTGGTCTGTAGACTGTACTTACCCCATCCGTAGAGGCCGTTGGACCCGTAGCCATACGGGTATCCGCCGTAGAGCCCATATCCATAGCCGTAGCCGTAGGAATTTGCGGTCTTCAGGGTCTCCTTAGGCTCTGACTGCTCTAGCAACTCCTTTTCAGCTGGTGCTGCAGACACTAGCGCCAACAGAGCCATCAGCATGGCGAAGCAAACGAGGACCTGCGAAGTAAGATCCACTTCCTAAGATTCGACCACGACGAAGACGTGAAGTAGTTGCCCCGTGTTGTGTGAGAGACTTTTCAGAGGAGTCGCAAGTTTCTTTGTCGGCCGACATGTTATTATCGATTGAAAGAAATTGAAATTACGATTTCAGAGTAGTCCCCGTAGGCATAAAGTCCATACGAAATTTCATCCAAATCCGTCCAGCGATTCTCGGGTTCAATCCTGCTCACTGACAAGGCACTTGGCCAGCCCTGTATGCACATCGTGGCAAACTAACTAACTAGATGGCTTACCGAACCCGAAGGTTTATCACCGAATTAACCAAAGCCCTCCACCGGACCCTGTCCTGGGCCAACAAAATCCAGTCTCCTTCGACTCCTATCTCCCATAGATCCCGCCTGAGATTATCCTCCCATCTACGTCTAGGTCCCCCCAGCGGTCTCTTCCCTTCAGGTTTCCCAACCAGTACCCAGTGCACACCTCTTGTCCCATCCATGCGCGCTA